TTCTCTCTGTGCTTTTTTTTTTTTTTAATTCATTTAGTTTTGAAGTTCATTTTTTCCCTTTGAGCTTCTAAGAAATCATTTCCAAAATAATGTTGTGGTTGAGATCTTAATAATGTTTTCGCTACATTTCTATTGAGTCAAATAGTTTTTACTTTTTACTGATTGTTACCTTTGTTCTATATCAATTTTTATGGGATTTTCTTTGATTTTGAAAATGGTGTGATCTTTTTAAGATTCCTCAACCGCGAAGTGACTGTCGACGTGAAGTTTTAGCCTTAATTCTTAGTTGTCTGCACAGATTTTTGATTGTTATATCAATTTTTTGTTGGTACCTTGCAAATTAACTTAACAGAAGAATTGCTTGAAGGTCTAATCAACTGGTACTATTTTGATTATGTTCTTGCAAGTTATGTAAGTATGGATTTTCTTAGAATGTCTATAATTGAAGTCTGGGTTTAGTGTTTGAATGTTACCATTTTCCTTGCTTAGTTCTATAACTTCTATCTTTGAGATGCAAATGATTGACTTCTAGATGATTGAAAACAGTAAAAAAAAATGATAAAAATGAAACAAAATAAATGTTTCAAAAATCTTGAAATAAAGACCTATCATTAATTTTTTACATGAGATATTTTTATCATGCATTGATATGGTTGGACTGCATATATTTGATGTATGTGAACAGGTGAAGGAGATAGGTGGAAGTAGTAATCCTTCAGATCTAATAAAGGGATATGAGCAATTAGTTGAGAAGAAGAAATGGTTCATTAATTGGGAGAGCTTGATAAAGCCTGATAATTTGGAGAAAGATCACTGGTTTAGACTGTATTTTTGAATTAATTAAGTTATTATATTGTTATAGATTCTATGTAAAATTGGATTCTACTGCAATTAGATTATCGTTTGAGATTTATATGTGTGTGTATGTCTTTTCCTATCTGTTAGGTTCTCAATGGAGCAGTAACCAAGTGCACATCTTGTGGAAGTGATTTTAATGCTTTTAATCGAAAGGTTAAAATTTGCTTTCTGTTCACTATTTACAAAACAGTGGGTATTGTCAATAAAGCTTAATTGATCTTCTTTCATTTCTTTTCTTGTCAACAGTGCCACTATCAAAACTGTGGGGATATTTTCCGTGACAAGTGTACACAAGGAGGAGGTGGAATTTCAATCATGTATGAACTCAATGATTTGTCTCAAAGATAAAAGTTATAGAAATAAACAAGGATTCTGGTTAATAAATACATGTTGCTTTATTCCCGTCCTTGATGTGTGTGCATTGTTTTGTACTTACCGTTTTCTTATATGCTACTTGGTAACTTATTTAGTAATGATTTCATGCTTAAAGTCTGCCATCTTGGTTCGTTGTTCATTTATCGTAATTAGCTTGTTAATTCAGCTTATTGTTAAGTTTAATATCATTGTTCTGTTCAGTCCCTTATATTTGATCTTCTTCCCATTTTAAGCCACATAAATTTAACGCGCACAACTATATATCAATTCAAATTATGGCATGTTTTTATCAGTATGGATTTGTAGTTTTTTTCTCTATCTCGCTTTGTATGTGTGAAATGGATATGATTTATTATGTTTCCCTATTTGCGGTGATACTTTTGTCGCATATTGTGGCACAAAACAACTGTAATTTATTGCTCTTTCCCAGAGGACAAGTGACGCCAAATATCAGCAAAACATATTCTTGATCAAAGTTCACTTTGGCTCTCAAGACAACATCATTCCTCTAGGTAACTTTATTTTTACTGAATTTAATTCTAATTATCCATCATTTAGACAGCATTTTGAAATGAATTTTTCTCTTTTTTGGCATGTTACAGGTTGAGTACTGATGCACAAAACAGGTCACTTATTTTTCTACAATGAAAGAGAGGCTTTCAACAACTAAAGCTTTTTACTTCAGAAGTTACTCCACAAACCTTCTCCGAGGGAACAATCTAAAAATAAATTTTTTTAAGTGAATTGATGACAATAATGTTTGCTTTGTTCTTTAATAAATGCATGCAGGGTGAGTTATACTGCATTTGGTGGTCTGGAATTAGAATTAGAAATAATTTCACTGAAGTGGGCTGATTATTTAAATTTGTTGCAAGTTTTTCTCTCTTGGATAGATGCTAATAGAAAGTTTGAAGCACCCAAATTAACGACGAATTTTCTTCACCGTGGCACCAGGACACCTAATACAAGCAGGAGCTGACGTAACATTATGAAACTAACTACCTTAGATGTCAAAAATCAATGTTCTTCTCAGATAACAGAATAGAGAGTAATTCAATATGCTTAAAAATTGATCATTAACATTTAAAGTGTACTTGTGGGTTTTAGACTGTCATTATCATCATAATTTGGGCTGCATGTTCCTTGTGCCAACATACGTACATACTACTACAGACTGTTGCAATGTAACAAGAAGAGTCCAGTTAAGTTGTCATAGAGATTAAGCTAGAGACTAGGTTATCTTTGCATCTTCCTTTTTGATTCTCGAAAATATGCTTACACGTGATTTCCTTTAGATGCTTTCCCTTTTTGTTTTAGTTCTATGATGCTCGAATGCATTATTCATATCTCTGCAATTTGAGAATTAATCTCGTGGTTTTGTTTTGAAGGAAGCTGACTTGAAGAGGATAAGAATGCTAAGATCCAACAAGATATGAAAGATATGGAGGCATCACTTTTCGAGCCAAAGTGGAAGCTTCTCTTGCTGATGGAGTTTCATGGAGAATGCTTGAGGGTGATATTGAGGAAAACGAGGTTTGTGTTATCTCCTTACTCCTTCGAAGTAGCTCTGGTGCTCTTCTATACTAGAGACATCGCATTTTTGATAATATTTTCGGGTAGTGTTCTTTGTCCTATTATGTTCTTGCTTGTAGATTTGACTTTATAGTAGGTTTGAGAGTCAGAAGACCCAGAGAACAATTAAAAAGAACTTCCTCAACAAGATGTTCTGTTTAATACATTGGGACTTCAATTAACTTTAAATTTATTTCCCTTATTCCTTGTGTTTTCTGTCTTGCCATTTAAATACCTTCGGATGGTTTATACTGCCATGGATGTTCTATCATAAAATTGAAGGTTGCATCTCCTACTGTCATGGAAATTAATCAATTGTTGTAACATGTTGTTTTAACGGTCTTATGGCTTGTTATTAGTATTATTGTTATTATTATTATTTTAATTGAAGATACGGAGTTTATGGTTTATTTTTTTCATTTCTGTAATATTGTTTAATGGTAGTTGAATTTATTAAAATGTTAGCTATAACGGTATTGACCACGAGGGCACAATTTTTGCATATATACACATGAGCGCGCGCACACATTTATATAATTATATTTTATTTAGTAGTGGAGGGTGGGATGCAGTTTTCTCTTGATTCTATTATTTGAAGCCGTTTGCAAGAATTGTTTATTTGAAATAATATTAACACTCACTCCTTTATGTTACAGTATATGATGCCACCTTATGGGGCTTCATATGTGGCATATGGAAAAAACTCAAAGAAGCGGGCTTCGATGAAGAGTCCATCAAACGTAGAGACAAGGCTGCTCTTGTCGTCTATATTGCTGAACTCGAAGTCGAGGTCTTTTTTTCTTAACTTCTTTGTGAATTTATATATTTATTCGTTCGATGTTTCTTTCATTCCATTTTTTTTGATTGATTTTCTATTTTCCTTGTTCGTGTAGTTTATTTCTCTCTCTTTGCAAATATCAAAGGTATAATTCATTTGATTTTCACGAGCTTCTTTCTTAATTTCTTCATTCTTCGGAAGAGTTTGAGCCTCTATTTTTGTATTCTTTTGTAGTTTCTCTGAATCGGTAAACAACTGGTTGATTCTCTTGTGGATGACAGATTAAAAAACAAGCGATTTTGCTCTTTTAGTATTGTTAGATTTGTCTTTATTAACAAAAGCTTCCTAAAAAATTAAGGGTTGATTGGGAGTATCACTTTTTGTAACACCTTTTAGTTTTGAAAGGTTGCTTCACTAGATTTTGTAGCTGACAAACCTCGCAACAATGTAGAACAATTGTCTCCAGTTCCAATCCCTATTGCCAGTTAATGTCAACTAGCTGCCGAATTTTTGGAGCCTTATCCTGAGAAGCAAATAGTAATGGGTTTTGAATGTGAGAGGGGTTTAACATTCGTTGCCCTGTGACTCTTTGCATCATGCAGATTTTTTTAAATTTCATTATCAATTTATAGTTTCTTTCGTATGCCGAATGGCCAGGTAAGCAGCCGTTTTCAAGCCGAGCCGCCAAATGGTAGATATTTTTTTTCCCTACTTTGTTGCTTTTCTTCTCACCCAACAACATATCGTTCTCTTTCTTCTCCTTCTCCACTCTCCAGTAGAACCAAAAAAAACCCTGCAATTTTCGGTCTGCAATCTTCCCTTTCTTTTCCTTTTGGTGTTGGAATCTTATTTTTTTCATCTTTCTTCTCCTTCTCCACTCTCCAGTACAACAAAAGAAAACCCTTCAATTTTCGGTAGAACAAGAAGAAGCACTGCTGGCTCTCGTCGATCACCGCACAAAAGAAGTCGTGCATCTTCGCCAACGCGCCTCTTATTACACATCCCAGGTTCAATTATTATTATTATTATTTTTTTTTTTTTGGGTTTTTTGATGTTTTTATTCAAGCGTTTTTGTTTCATGGTCATGATATCAATTTCTTCATTTTCAATGCAATATTTCACATTCATGATGCAATATCTCAATACGCTAACATTACCTTAAAAATAACTCCACCTGTGCATTGCACGGGCAGAAAACTAGTATTTTTAGGAAGTTGTATGTTTTACTCTAGTAAGTAGTAGGTTTGCCTGGAAATTGGAGTTTACATTTTAATGTGGTTTATTGTCTCATGAATTGCATTCATTTACAAAATATGCTTGGAACTTTATGAGGGTGTGCTTGGAAATTAGGGCTTTGATTTGAACGTGGTTTTTTGGTGTCCTTAAATAGTTGTGTCATGTTCATTGTAGACAGTTCATATGTCATGAATTTATGTTTAGCAATGTAGGTTGAATTTGTAAATTGATATGTTGTTAACACTTTTCTTGGTAATTGTGGATTGCCATTAATTTAGGTTTGATAAGTTCACATTATTGCAATGTGGTTCAGTTTGTGGATTCATATGTTATTAGCTCTTTCTTATGGATGGTTACTAGATTTCTTGACAGTTTGAATAAAATGAATCAAGCTCATAAGAAATTCACTTGCTCGTGGATGTGTTTGACTTGATACACTATGTCTTGTAAGAATTTATTGACCGTGACATCATTATTAAAAGTTGGAATTTGTTTATATTGGTGGTATTGCAGATGGAATTCAACACTATGGCTACTTAGGAGGGCCCCTGCATGCGAAGGATGTCGAAAAAGGTTTAGCAGGGGTGGTTATCGAGAAATGGTGTTCGTTACGCATTAAAATACCATTAGTAGATAGTCAGCCTCCCTACACTAGGAGTGGCCATGCGAGAGGAAAAAAGAGTGTAGTAGAAAATCATTCACTGGAGAAGGAAAAAAAAAAACACTTTTTCTTACATTTCGGTTTGTAATTTGTCACATTTGTTTGTAATTATGTCGAACGCCTTATTTTTATTTTTGCTTAGTTTATTTTCCCAGATAACCCCCAGATCTCGAGTTACAAAGCTTGCACAGCGAGAGACATGAGGTACTCGAGCTCCCAAAGGCGAGCGATAGACTCCCTGTTCTGAGAGCTCGAGCGGGAGATGAGTGTTCAGCGAGCCAAAATAAGGTGACTTTTTCGTCCATCTTTAGACTTCTTCAAGGTCTCCTCATCCAACCCACCAATACCTAAAAGAATTTAGGTCACAATTCAACAAATCTCCACTTGACACAAATTTCACTACAATGAACGAAACTTCAAAAATCCTTCACTTGGAGATGAGTTCCACTGTAAGGAATAGAACTTGGCTCGTTGACAAAAAATTCTACAACGAACAAAATTCTCCACCTCTTCCACAAAATTCAACTAGGATAAACGCAATAACAGAATGTCAAATGAATCTAAGCACTGCTCAACAAAATTATCTGGGGTACCAAAATTGCTCGAATTATTACCACGAGAAACAAAATCAAAAAATAACTCAGCAATCACCAAATAGGGCAAAAGCATACCCTATAACAGAATCAATAATACAAACTGCGTCTATAGCTTTTTTTTGCTAGACATAAAATCTTCAACCACATTTAAAACATAAACAACTAAATCAGCTTCACTGTACCTTTGTTGAGACCTAATATCTCTCCTGGGTTTGTATCAGCTTATTGAAATGTATTCTTTGATGCAAACCATAAACCGAACTCCGGTTGTATTTTACCAAATTCAAACTCTACCCGAGTGTTTAATCTTTGTTGATTAGTATCCAATGATTTTGTAGTACCTTACAAGACATACAATTGGGATCTTCTTCGTCCTTTCAGCACAACACAGACCACAGACACATTTACTAACTTTTAGGACTCATCCTTTACAATTGTACTTGAACCCTTTTGAATCAATATTACTAAGAAGATAAAAATTTCTCTTCAAATTTGGAACGTATCTCACATCATCAAGCGTTCTGACATTTCCATCAAATATCTTACTTTTGATCCTTCGAATACCAAGTATCTTACAAGATGTATTATTACCCATTACCACAATACCTTTTGGAACTGCTTCATATGTTGAAAACAAATCTCAATTGGGACACATATGAAAAGCACAAACTGTATCAAGAATTCAATCCTAGTCGGTTTGGAGTCATCGTCATAAATAATCAAAATTTTCCATTATTGTAGCTATTTTTTGTAATATCGACTTCACCTGAGTTTTGGTTGCTTTCCTTTCTGATTTACAGCCACTTTTTCTTTATTCTGCAACTTATAGAAATCCTTCTTTATGTGCCCCTTCTTCTTGTAATAGTTACAAATTTTATTATTGAAACTAGACTTCTATCTGCCCTTTATATAACCACCATCAACAACAAGGCCATTTCCATAAGCCTCAGATCTAACAAAATATTTCATCTTCTTCTTTGAAAATAGAGTATCATAAACTTCTTCAATGGTAACAGAATCACGACTATATAATATTGTATCTCTAAAAGATATATATGAAGTAAGCAACGAACACAACAAAATCAACTCCAAAACCTATTCATCATACTTAACCTTTAGAGTTTCTAAATCAGCGACAATTTATTTAAAAATAATAAGGTGGTTTTCAAAATATGTACCTTCGTCATACAAGGAGAATACAATCGCTACTTCAAATACCATTTTCTTGTTAGACGTTTCTTCATGTATAATTGCTCAACTTCAACCATAATACAGCTGCAGTTTTCTCCTTCAAAGCGTCCTAAATAAAATGATTCAAAAGATGATGATGAATTTGTGATAGGGCCTTGTAATACTTTCGTTGTTTCTCTTCTAGCATCTAATTTGTGGGCATCTTGTCAAATCCAAACAAAGTATCATCCAAATCCATCTCAGGAGCATTGCTCGCATTGCCACAACGAAAATCTAGTGACACGATCCAAAAGTAGAATATCATACTTCGTGATTGTCACCACAAGAACAAAACCTCGAACATATCAAATTTTAAGCTCCGATACCATTTGTTTGGAATTAAGAACGAAATTATATACCATAATATGAAGTAAAGACCATAACACAAGAAGAACACAACAAATTTGGTAAATGAGAATTCACTATAATATGGAGAAAGAATACAAAAATATTGTACTTTTTCTGTTCTAACTTTCTTCAAAACCAAAATCATGTGGAATATATATAGAATACAAGAGAATATGTTTTAGATGGAAAGATGATAAAAAAACGAGTTAGAAAATTGAAAATAAAAATTCCCCGAATAACACCGACGCTTGAGCGGCAAAGCTCGTGTGCAGCGAGCAGTGTGTGGTGCTCGAGCGCCCAAGCTTGCGGCAGACTCCCTATTGTGAACACTTGAGTGGGAGATGAGCATTCAGTGAGCCAAAATTTGGCATCTTCTTCTTCTTGGTTCATTTTTAGACATCAAGGCCTCTTCATCCGAACTACTAATACCCAAAAGAGTTTGGGCCACAATTCAACATTGAATTAGGTTGTAGTATGTACTATGAAGTAATGTAAATTGTATTTCAGAACCCTTGTATCGAATTCATCAATCTTATAGCATGTCGAATTGTCGAGAAAAATATAAGAGAGTTGTCGATTGTCGACGTGTATTGTTTTCGATATGTATTGTCGGTCTGTATTATTTATAATGTGTTTTGTAGTATAATGGTATGTGCAATGACCTAAATGCTCAACCGTAAGAATACGAATTTCATAAATAATGTTATTATCGATGGTTGAAAAGAGATTATAAAGTCGAGTCATAAAAAATAGTTAATTAATAATGTTAGAAAATAATTAGTCATCAAAAATAGTTAATTAATAATGTTGGAAAATAACTAATATTTTTGTGAGCAAATATATAGTGCATGTCTGGAAATGCTTAATAGTGAAATTCCTACCGTTGGGCAGCTATTTTCCTACCGTTGCTCACCATTTCTAACAATTTCCAGCCACTTTTCTTGACCAAATCTCTCATATGTGGGCCCCAGTTGACCAAAAAGGTCAAAAAATTGATTTTGAAAATCTCCTCCAGACATGCACATAATCTATTTTGTAATAACCTGATTTCATGGATTGCTTCTCCAACAAGCTACACATCAATCTTTACATTAATTGTGCATCAAATGCATTCAAAAAGTATTGAAAAGGGTGAATTAGATTTTTTACATTAAAAATAACATTTTACAAGATTTTGGAAAAAAAAAAAAAGATAAGTTTTTGGTGTATTTTCATATTAGTGACATCAATGCAAAATTCTCTTAAAATATAGAGAGAAATTTTGAGCTTACATATAAACTTATTTTATGGGAGAATATGTATTAAAAATTTGTTTTAGGGAAAGTGCTTTTTCGAAAAAAATGGAGTTCAAACTTAGGCTAAGAAATTAAGTTGTAACATGTTCTTCAAACATTAAAATTTAATAAAATATACTTTTTATTAAGTCAAAGTCAGATTATTACAACTCATTTATTAACAATAATTTTCATGAGATTCAATATTATTCCTCCTAAAAAGTTATTAATGATTTTACTTGATTACTTGCGTAATGTTACTTATCACTAGTGATTTAGCTTTCCAACTTTTGGTAATGATAATTCAATGGTGAACCAGAATATCTAGAAACACGCTAACAATAAAATATATAAATGGAGAATTGTAACAACGGTTCCAAACATTTAGAATTTTTTTTTTTTGCGCAAACTTTACCTTAACTTTCACTTTGTATCACTCACAATCCTAAATCTTTCAAAAAATTAGCAGTTGGGGTCCAAATGGATAATTTCTGTTAATTTGACCATTAGTTGATCCAATAAATTGACTTTGACCAATTTAAAAAGGATAAGATGGTAACTTTGAATTAAAATTAAAAAAACTAAAAATCAAAACCCAATTACTGTTCATCTTATCCTTCCCACACCCACCTCCTCCTAAACCTAAAAATCATCAAGCAACCACTGCCACCCCCAGGGGCGGAGCCAAGTAAGGCCCAGGGTGGGCATAGGCCCATCCTGAACTTCTGGGCTCAATTTTTTTTTAGTTATAGGCTAAGTCCCAACCCAAGAGAGAAAGTCCAAAAATTTAAACCTCGCTGAGTGACCTGACTGACTTTCGTCGTTCCTCAAGGCTCAAACAACTCCATCCTCTGCTCGACTGCTCCTTTGCTCCGCCTCCACTTCGCAGTCTGAAGCCTCCGCCTCCGTTCCCCTGCTCCGCCTCTGGCACTTTGCAGTCTTCGCCTCCGGACTCGTTCCTCAACAACTCCATCCTCCGCAGTCCGTATTCATAAGTTAGTTTCAAACTTGCAGCCTCCGCCACGCAGTTGCCTCCTCTACTCTCCTCCACCGAACCACCTCGCAGGTATTTTCTTTAGCAATTGGATTATTGGCGATAGCTTGAGTCTTGAGACTGAAATTGTTCTTTTTTTTAATACTATGTTTTGGGTATTGTTATTTGCTGTGTGTAGTAGAGACTAGAGATTAACTGTTATGGAATTAAATTTGGGTATTGTTGAAATTGAGTATTGTTGAAATTTGGGTGTTGTTGAGTTGAAATTGCTAAAATTTGGGTATTGTTGAAATTGGGTATTGTTGAATTGAAATTGTTGAAATCTTATGAAGAGACTCTTTCAAAGAATAACTAACTTGGACAACGTAAATGTTGTCGGGGGGGACGTCGAATAATGTGGAATTTGACGTCACTAAACTTCCAACTGATCCTGGTCT